CTTTAAATATTCATGATCGGGTATGTTTTCCTTTCTTAAAGTTATATCATCTTGACTATTTTGTGATACATTTCTGTATAAAGTTTTTTTGTTGTATCTAATTAACTATTATTTTCTATAAACATTTTCTTCTTAATAATTTTCATTATTAATAATACTGTATCTGATTTTTTTTTTTCCTTTTTTCTTTCTTTTTCATTTTCAAGAATCTAATTAAGTATTATGTTTTTTGTTTTAGACACAAGAACTTGAGCGCGAAATCTTAAAATTAAGATCTACTTTAGAAACACAGCAAGATGTGGCATTAGAACGATTGAATACAAAGGAGCAAGAGTGGAAAGCAAAATTACAAGAGGAACATGATAAAGTAAGATTTAAATTCTTTAAGCACAGGCTGAAAAAAGATAAGTTGATGTAAAATATTTCAACTCATTGCTGCTTTGTACATGTGATGTCCGCTGTAGTTTTGTTTTGTGAATTTAGATTACTAAATGTGTGCTCAGCCACATAGGAATCAAGATGTAGGCATGCAGGACCTCAACTGATACACCCTTTCCTTGAGTTTTTATGATGAATGATTTTTTCTAATGCTGTATATATCAATAGTCATTATTAATCATATCATGGTTATCATAATAGAGTTTTTCTTTCTTTTTTTTCTTCTTTTCAACCCATTGGATCCAGATGCTTCACTGTCATCACATGGTCGCAAAACGCAGGCATTAGGCTTATGTGAGCAGCCACTCTGACATGTGTGCAGCTAGTAGACCAGGCATATGCCAACACTTGTTTGCAATGACAAGACTCCATGCCTCCCCCTTCTAATCTTATTTTCCCTCTTTCTACAGAGTTTTGAGCTTTTTTAGCCATTTTCTAATGTCTATATTTGTCATTTGATATGCTTTATCGACATGGTAATAGACTGTTTCTCTTGCACAGACTCCATATCATCTATTCGGTACTCTATAACTCAGTGCATTAGTAATAACAATAAGTTATTTGTGTCACTCTAAAAAAAATTTTCGCAATATTAAATTTTTTTTTTATACAACCTGTTGTGCCAGTCATGGTGGGCAAGAATAGGATCCTGAGCATGGAATCAGCGTCCTCATTGAGCTGGCACTCATGGCTCACAAACAGACCCCTTTCTAAATGTCAAATGAGTCTGATCACCCTCCAAGAGCTTTTTGCACTTGTGGTAAGTCATTCCTGTCAAGTTTGCATCACCCTTAGGCCACAGCCAACTAACTCCAGACTGCAAGTTTACGTCACCCATCCCTAAAGCCAAAATTTTTCATAATGTAATGGTTATGTCATCCAGGTCGTAGGGATTAATATTTACAAAAAAAGAGTAAACAGGTGAGATAGGTAGGACTATGTGTAAACACAGTTGGTAAACTAAAATCATATTTCACATACATATATGCCATCCCCAGTGACAGTGGGTTGATAATTTGTTATAGAGATAAAACTGACCTTCTCCCTTCACAATAGCCAAAAATTATAGTTTTGAGATCATAAAATGTCAAATTGACCTTATCCCTTCACAATAGCCTAAAATTATGATTTTGAGATCACAAATATCAGAATTTTGGCAAGTACTTTTCCCACAAGGTCAGGGAGCCCCCACCCCCCTTTCAGTTTTCAGGGGATGTTATTTGATCAAAGATATTCCCCTGAAATTATTTCTTATTTAAAATTACATATATACCATACTAAAATGATCATTATCATTAAGAATATGCAGGTTATGGATACACATGTACAAGTCTGAAAGTCGTATATTTGTATTTTTTATGTATTGGGGTGGGAATAAATGAAGCAAAATATTATATAATGAAGGGTGATAATTTATACACACACACACACACACACACACACACACATATATATATATATATGTATATATATATATATATGTATATATATATATATGTATATATATGTATATATATATATATATATGTATATATATATATATATATATATATGTATATATAGTATATAATTATATATATATATATATATATAGTATATATATGATATGAGGTGAGTATATGTGTATATGATATGAGTGTATTATTTATATATAGATTGTAGTTATGATATATCTATCATACTATATACATAGAGGTTAGTTATATGTTATAGTAGTAGTGAGTATAGTTGAGTGGTATTATATATATATTTTATTTGATTAGTATTATGTGGGTGAGTGTATTGTGATATTTGATGGAGTAGGTATTCATAGTGTATATAGTAGTGATTTTATGATAATTGTGAGTTACTGGATTATATTTGGATTACTGAGTGTATTGAGTAATATATATGATGTTTTATTGGTGGTGAGGTGATTGTAGACATATAATAGTAATTGAGGGTTTATACATGATAGTATATACTTAATGTATATAGATGATAGGTAATTATAGTAATATATAGTATAGTTATTATATACATAATATATAGTATTTTATAATTATTACATGCATAGCAGACA